GCGCAGCCCCTGCGGCAGCGGCGTGCGGCTCTTGGGGCTGCGCGACGACAGCACCGATATCACCTTCAGGTACTCGTCCGCTGATAGCTCTGGGATATCCACTAAATCACAAAAAACATACAGTTAAAACTTCTAACACATTGATCCTATAAACACCTTCAAAAAGAGTAAATGTCAAACATTCTTCGTACCTGTAATACTTTCATCATAAACATCGTTTTCAACTGTTGTTTTTTTCTTAAGAAGCAAATCGGCAATTTTGTCGCCATAAACTTGATTGCTGAACCTAAAAATTAACAAAAATACTTTTGACTAAATATAATAAGAATATTAAAATTGGGTTTTAGTATTATTTGTATTATTTCTATCTTTGAATTAGTAAGGTGTTGTTTGATATCCAACCTGTCCAACAACACAAAGTCGTCCATAGTGAAGGGGAGTTTATCCTCAAAAGGTCCGATGATCCGTGCGTTGTGTACGAGTGCGCGCGCGCCCGCACGCAGCCGCATGCCGCGCGCGCACAGCACTCGCGCCGCCTTCAGCACCCACTCCAGCTTGTTCAGAACTGGCACCAGTTCAGGCTACAAGCATAAAAAACATTTTATCTATACTATTATAATAAAGCGTAAACACACACTTCTTTGTTGCCTAAGATGTCAACAATTGCAGCATATTTTTCAATAATTCTTTTTTTTTATAAAAAGCCCTACACTTACGTCACGCTTTAGTCTATATATTTTCACGATATTAAACTTAGGGGGTAAATATTTTGGATAAAAACCCTAATGTGGGAAAGAGACCATAAGTTGCTGCCAACATCAAGGAAGCAAAATTGCCTACTTTGTCATCATGTCATGTCTGTCCTTTTGATGTTTGCAATTGAATTTGACAAATGTAATCAATAAAACAATTTTCATTATTTCATGCGGATGAAGTCGCACGGGAACAGCTAATTTAAATCATAAGGTGATAACCTAAAAAGCGGTCATCTAATTTCGCTGTAATAGCGAGGCGACCACTGCCTATAGACATCCGCAATTGCACATACGTTGTCTAACTTTAATCGACAGAGAATTGGACACATGGAAAGAGGATATTTCCTCGTCCTATGCGTACCCTCTTCTATCCAAACTCTTCTCCACTAAAATAAGGTCTACGGCACGCACACTCATCAGATGAAACGCGGAATTGCTTTCATTTCAAGCATGTTTTTTGTGTGTATGGATTAATTACAATGAATAATTTTAGACGTGAAAAGGAAAACAAGAAGGTAACAAAAATTATTATGGTAAGAGTTTACAACAAACAAGTCTATTTTAAATAGTAAACTACAGTAAAACCTCGATAACTCAAACCTCAGTAACTTATACCTACCCTACCCCTATAACTCCAAAAAATAATATGTTCCCTTCTTATCAGAGTCCAAAACCTCTATAACATAGACCCTTGATAACTTAAAATATGTTGTGTTTTCCTTGGACTACAATTTATCGAAGTTCTACTGTATATAATTTATATAGTTGAATGAATACCAGTATATCGCAATCCTGTCGCTCATGGCACCCCTCCTGTTCCAGAAGCGAGGTGACGTACTTGGTGGCGGCGGCGGGCTCCAGCGCGGCGAGCGCCGCCAACACCGCCTTGTTCAGCGACTGCTCGCCCGACACGCCCGACACGCCCTCCACGTTCGGGATGAACGCCACGCGCACGCCGCCACTCTCTCTCTAAATCACAAATATATTAAGTTTGAACAATAAAAAAATCAACTATAGCAGTAAGCACATTTTAAAATATTACCATGAATTTTATAGCATTTCTTAGCAGATCTCTAGATTCCTTCTCGTTTAGATCTCCAACTACCCAAATTGTTTGCGTTATCTTCTCTGGTTTACCACTTTTTTGGAAATATTTCAAGATCGGTAGCGCGGTGGCTAAAGCGTCGCGACCTGGGGAATACAATACAAAGTTAATTATAGTAGATTAAATGGTAGTTTTTTTTATTAAATACTAAATACATACCATGTGTCTTTATCGCTTAATGTTATTTTATATCGATCTGTGTAAATTTTATTTTTAAATACATAAAACACTGCATATACCTGTCAAATGCATCAACCGATGCAGTCTATCTTCTGTGAAGAGTTCGGGAGAAGAAGGCACTCCTGATAGATCTAAATATTGTGTCGGTTCTGACGCCAGGACCCGACGATTTAGTCTGCAAATATAAAGATATTTCAAACTCGCTGTTGCTCGCGTCACCCGCGATAAATTAAAAAACAATAAAAAAGGCTACATTACTCACTGATAACGTAGCTTTTTAATAGCGTAAGAATTTTTTAAATCAGCCTAGTAGTTCTAGAGTTATTTCAATACATACAAAAATACAAATCTTTCCTTTTTATATGTAGATTTTGCAATATACCTACAAGGTACACAAAGTACTGTGGTTTGCAAAAATGCCACTGTTAACATAAAATGTAGTATTCTTCGACCTTGGCATGATATGCGGCTGCTTCATGAGGTGGTCGACGGCGTCGTCGGTGTCCGCCAGCTCGGAGCGGAAGACCGCGCGCTGCAGGCGCTCACCAGCGCCTCCTCCAGCAGCTCCACAGACGACGTCGCAGCAGTCGGCGACCCGTCGTCCCACAGCGGCACGCCGTTAATTAGCACCTAACAGGCCATTATTAAATACTAGTTTTAATTAAAATTTTACTACTAATTACTAATTTGCCCTATTGGAATTTAGATTTAATAAAAAAACTAAGTAATTAAACTATGTGTTCTTTCAAACTATGATCTACATATGTCTAAATTTCATCGAGATCCTATGTAATCTATACAGTGTCTTTCTATATTTTGTGGGTAATACAGTTAATGCTATTTTTCATGGTGCTTACCAAGGGATACTTGTCGCTAGTTATCTTGAAAAGGAATTCCTCGGCCAGCTGATGACCGAAATTAAACTCAGAGTCCTCGTAAATAATGTCGTCTACATTGGTGCCGGAACTCGCATATTTCTGTAGCTGGTTTTTGACATGTTCTAATGTCATATCATTATTCTCACACGAACTAATCAACTGAAAAAAAAATCAAACATGGAACCAAATCTTTTACCCCAAAAAAACTTTTTATTTATTCGTATATCGCATTAGTTCTATATTCCGTCATGTAATGTTTTACATGACGGAATTTAACTTTTCTTGTTATGATGACATACCTGTGTAAGGAAATAAAATGCTTCTTTATTGGAATTTTTGTCCTGCGCTACGTAGTTAAAGGCGGAGCGAACGGCGGCGGAGAGCGCGGCGTCGCTGCCGGGGGCCAGCACGAGGCCCACGCGCACCGGCGTCGCGTGCTTCAGCAACGTCTCGCCCAG